CAAAAGTTTTCTATGTGGATCTGCTTAAAACAATTTAAATGATTCCATGACCCTAAAATACAGTTCGGATACCCTCACACAAAATTCAATACTCAGGGAGCTTTAGTTGTTCTGAGCTGGCAAAAGTGGCTATTTTCGTTTCTGAATAACTTTTAAACGTGATTTTTAACAGCAACAAGATATATACCAAAATGTAAGGAATCTCAAGGGCTATACAGTTTGAAGTTTTAAAGAAAATCGTTAGAGCCGTTTTTGAGAAAAATAACAAAAAAGCTAAAAAAAAAAAAGTTAAACAAAATTTTTTTTTATGCAAAAATTTTTAAATATTACATTTACACAAATTACATATAGGAGGCGCTTAAAGCGTTTTAAAATACCTTTCAAACGAGATACAGCACAAGTTTGTGGCTTTAAAAGTTACGGCCTTCCGTATTTTAGCTATTTATAGCTGTTTTCCCGCTAAACTAGCGGGTTTTTCCAAAAGTGGTAGAACTAAAGTCTCTTATATCGAGCTGTTGAACATCATATCAAATTTTCAGGACTTTAAAGCCATGTTTTGGGACACACAGACAAACAGAATTAAATTTTCATTTTGATTCGGCCCCCGCCAATTTGTTTTCTGTATAACTTTTGAAAGGAGCGTCCGATTTTCTGATATGACCCCTCATATTAAGGGCATTTTCAGTAGAAATACAAGTAAAGGAGTGCGAGGGGTCCACCGGCCCCAACAGATCCAAATTTCGAAATTTTTACTTTTACACTTTCACCGCTCTCTCTGCCAAACCAATTGATTTTTCTTGCAATCCTTTAAGTTTTAGCAATACTCATTACGATAGGACTATCACAGCAGATTTTCAATTTTGCGGCTATATAATATATAGTAGTAGTAGTAGGTTGTTTATTGTTTGTGTTTTGTTTTTCTTTGTTGCTTATTTATAGCTGGCTGTACATATTTAAGGTTACATCAAAACAAATAAACAAACAAAAATTGGTTACAACGACAATGGCTTTTATGCCGTCAGTCGGTTAGTTGAGTTAAGTTAAATTCTAAAATTGTTCTAAAATAATTTTTTTTCTGTAATTACTGGCTTTTGTAATGAAGAATGCCAGATTCTCCCAGTTTTCCCCATTTAGAAGACTGTGGAGATCCGATTCGCAAAGGGTGGTTTTCGTAAAACATGTAAAACGAATCTCTCTCAGAATAGGGCAGACTGCAATGAAGTGTTGAACATCCTCGATTTCTCGCATGTTGCAGAGGCTGCATTCCAGTGATGTGTTGTTGCTGTAAGGCCTGCCATTTAGAGGTAAAGTCTCGGTTCTTGCTTGGAAGATATGTTTTACGAGTTCTCCTTTATGTTGATCGTGGAAGTAGTTCTTTTCATATAAATTATGCTCCAGATTTCTATACAAACTCCTCGACGCGCTGTTTTTGGCCTTAGTTATAAACGTTTCTCTTTCTATGTCGCCGTATAATATATATATAATATATATATAATAGTAGTCGCCTTCGCACACTCCCCTTGTGCGCTTCGTCACTACATGGGCTGCCGTCCATAGTGATATAAAATCTGTTTGTCCGTCAGTATGAGCGCTGAGATCTCGGAAACTATAAAAGCTTGAAGTTTCGGACTAAAGCCTAGTACTCAGTACGACGAAAACTGCTAGCTAAGCATAGGAGTAAGCGAGAGGCAAATAGGTAGCTAAAGCCTTTAGCCGGAGACTTTTTCCCACCGCGGTACTCAGTTGAGCTAAGGAAATCGTAAGGAAATACCAAAAAAAAAATACCAGATTTAGCGGATGAATTCCGATGAACACCTTTAAGCCTAGTACTGAGTTCGGCTAAGAGTTTCACTTGTCTAAAAATATTAATCTTTTAGAGTGGCCGAAGTTTTCGGGGTTCATCCGCAATACATGTAGCATGGTCTTACTCTCAATCAGCTTGGTTTGTTGACAAACAGCAAACATCAACAGGCGCCAATTTTGAAATATTACAAAATGTTGAGCCGACCTGGGTCGCAAGCTTTAAATTTGCTGTTGGCATGAGGATATGTATTGCCGCAACTCCTACAGGCAGTTTTCCATTGGTTTTTGGAGTTTTCATTCCATTTATAATATGTTATTGGCACACTGCTTCTGCACAAACACAGCCAAAGACTAAATATTTTAGTCTTTGGGCCGAAGCTAAAGGCGTTCATCGGAGCTCATCCGCTTAATATAGTATTTATACCAGTTACTCGTAGAGTAAAAGGGTATATTGTATTCGTGCAAAAGTATGTAACAGGAAGAAGGATGCGTTTCCGACCATATAAAGTATATAATAAGGTATATAATATATAATATATAATATGATAAGGGTCACTAACCGAGTCGATCTAGCCATATCCGTCTGTATGTCTGCCTGTCAGTCCGTATGAACGCTGAAACTACAAAACTAGAAGGTTGAGATTTCCCACACATATTCTTGGGTCTTACGACCACAATCGCCAACTAACGATTTATAAATTTAACTGGCGCCCACACTTTTAAAGATTTTCGAGAAGTATAAATGCAAGTTTGTTGTGGATATTTATGCCTATCGAAATGCAGAAGACATTTTTTAAATCGGACCATTCATTAAAAATTTATACGCAATCAAAAAATGTTATATATCCATCTCCCTCGCACTCCCTTTGGCGGAGTGACGGGTATTAGATAGTCGGGACACCAACCCGACTATAGCGTTCTCTCTTGTTTTGTGGTATTTTCTTACTATTTTCGTTGCTCAACTGAGTATCGAGGTGGGAAAAAACCCCGGCTAAAGGCTTTTAGCTACCTATTTGCCCCACGCTTACTACTATGCTTAGCTAGCAATTTTCGTCGTACTGAGTACTAGGCTTAAGCATCCAGATTCTGGGGATTCCTGGCGCATATTTAAAGTTTTTGTAAAAGTGTAGATGCCATTTAATTTGTTTCAAATCAAAAATCTGACGAATTTACAGATCTGTTTAGCGAACGAAGACTTCCGCAAAATCTTGCCTAACCAGAGGTTGCCAAGGGTAGCCTTGGGTGAACGTGAATTGAGTTTCACATAACACCCTTCAATAAACATTTGTTAGGTAGCAATTTTCAGAAATTTTATAGATACCACTTGCAATGCAAAGCATAAATATGGCCGCTGGCGTTAAGGGCATTTGTGAGTGTTAGGGTGGGAGTGGCACCCTGGTGAAACCTGTTTAGTACCAACCTGCTATCTTTATACCCTTGCAGAGGGTATTATGATTTCAGTGAGAAGTTTGCAATGCAGTGAAGGAGACGTTTCCGACCACATAAAGTATATATATTCTTGATCAGCATCACTAGACGAGTCGATCTAGCCATGTCCGTCTGTCCGACTGTCCGTCTGACCGTCTGTCCGTCTGTCTGTTTCTACGCAAACTAGTCTCTCAGTTTTTGAGCTATCGGGATAAAACTTTCCCAAAAGTCTTCTTTCTATTGCAGGTAGTATATATGTCGGAACCGGCCGGATCGGACAACTATATCTTATAGCTCCCATAGGAAGGATCGGAAAAGAAAACGTTAAAAAAATTCTAGCTTTGGTGTTTTTTTGAAATATTACCTTCTACTTTTGGGGATGTTATTTTTTGAATATTTCTGAATTTCGAATTAAATGTTTAAAAAATCCGACGACTATATCATATAGCTGCATAGGAACGATCGGAAAATTAATGGAAAAGTAATAGGAAATAAATTCTAGCTTCTTTGGTTTTTATTGTATTCTCTTCTACTCTAGGATATGACTCTTTTTAAATATTTCCGAATTTCAATTTTAATTTGATCAAAATCGGACGACTATATCATATAGCTGTCATAGAAAAGATCGAAAAATTAATGGGAAATTAAATGGAAACAATTATAGCTCCGTTGATTTTTATTGTATTCTCTTCTACTCTAGGATATGATTTTTATTTAATATTTCGGAATTTCGAATTTCGGAATTTAACAAAAATCTGATGACTATATTATATAGCTGTTATAGGGAAGGATAGAAAAATTAATGTCAAAACAATACGAAATTTAAAATGTTTGCGATTTGTAAGTTAATGGGAATGATCTGCAAGGGAATTTAAGCTTCGGCTGGCCGAAGCTAGCTTCCTTTCTTGTTTTTTGTGAGCCTAGAGGTATTGACGAAACAAATACATTTTAATTTAAATTTTTTTTGTACACACAAAAAAATTTGCTTGGTAAAATTGACCAACAAAGATAGTTACGTAACTATTAAAATAGTTACGTGTGTTTTGTTTTTGCTTTGGGTGTGTGTCTTTACTAATTGTGTGTATTTTGTTGTTGTGGAATAACTATTTACTTAGTTGAATTGAGAATTTTGCTGGTTGGGGCCTGTTTGACAATTATTACAGTTGATTTTACCATGTTTTTTTTTTGTGTGTAGCATCAAAACTGTAGGCGCCGTTTTTTGCTGTTTGTGGGCGTTAGAGGGGGCGCCTTGATAAAACAAACTTGCGCTGCGCAGGAGTACTAAGAATCTGCTTACTTAATCCCAGCCTTCTAGTTTCCGAGAAGGTATTTTTTTCGTTTATACATATATGTACCTATAATACCACTCTAACGGCGATGGCGCCATCTAGTATTGGAACCGCTGACCATACAAGGCAGGAATGTGGGCGGTATGATTAAATAATGGAATGCAAGCAGTGATTTACTGATTGCCTAACTGCATTTCCCTTTGGATTAGTAAAGTGTTTCTAGCGTTCTCTCTTGTTTTTGTTTACAAACTAAACGCATAAATTTTTTGTTTATAGATTTTTAGAAAACTTCCCGTTTCCGGAAAAAACAATTGATCAATTATATTCAATAGATAATTCTATTCAAATTGCCAGGAACCAATGTCGTTTTGTGTTTGATAATACAAAATTTATGGTAGTAGTATAAAACATGCATCTCCAGTTACCACTTAATCAGACTTATAAAATAGGAGAAATGTAAAATTTTACGAAGAGATATACCGTTTAAGTGAAGGGTTTTGACAATTGGAGTAGTATCCATAGAATTAACTAAAAATAAAAATAAGAATAATATTGAATTGAAAATAGGATTGATACATTTTTAAAAATCAATAAATAACAAGTATGAATACAATAGTCGGATATCCGACTATTCTGGGGTGACACAAATCGTTTTGAGAGCAATTCGGATGAAGCTTGTATTGATGTTTAGTGAAAATGTCTAGCTTACGCCATCAAATATAATAGCGGGCGAACTTCCAAGGCCAGCTGCTTAATAACGCAGTAATCTGCAAATAGACAGTCTCGGACAGCCAGCTCTGAGTCGCCGCACTGCGTAATATTTTTGAGCCACTTTCACTAACACTCTTCCTCCACATTTAACTCAAAAAATATCTACCTACATCCAACATTACTTCACTATCATGCTAGGGTCAGTAAGCATTTAATTTATTTTATATTTTATTAATTTGTTAATAACTTTTAGGAAAATTCACTGTTCAACTTTTTTAGTGGATCGAAACGATTAATCCAAATTTGTGGTGCCTTTAACCTAGTTCGCGATTGGCACCCTATTGTTCCTATGGGAGCTATAAGATATAGACGTCCGATCGGCATGCGGTTTAACCCTAATCAATGTGCATAAAAGAATAAAATTTGGCTTTCCAAATTCATGTCAATAGCTTTTACACTGCGCGAAATATAATCAATTCTTGCAAGTTAAATCCGATTGTTCCTATTGAAGCTAGAGGATATAGATTTCCGATCAGGGCGCTTTTAAAACTTGATCTGCGTACACATGTTTTAGGACGACTGTGAATGTTTCAAATCGCTAGCTTTTAAACTGAGCTCTCAAACAGTATTGAAACAGACGGACATGGCTATATCGATTCCGTTTTGATTCTGATCAAGAATATATATACTTATTAAGTATAGAATATAACTACTCAATATTTTTTGCCCATGGCAAACACATTTTTAAAAATAAAGAATAAGGATTATGTTATTATATATAAGATTAACTGCTTTTAAACACTCCTTTACGTTTCGCTACAATCGAAAATTGAGCTGTTTTTTATATATCTTAAAAAAGCAGAGAATTGCCCATATATAAAATATAAAATATTGATACGGTATCATTAAATCTATATTTTTTTAATGCTTTGAGGCTTCTTCTAAAATTCCCACTCCACGAAACTAGGAAACTACTTGGCGCGGAATTTTTTATCACACCCCATATACATTCCATTCTTCAAAGACCAATAGTGGTATTTATCTCAAAAATTCTGGAAAAAACGCCTCTAGATGCCTGTAAAACATTTTAGGGCACATATTTTCCTTGTATTTTTTAAGCCTGTTCACCGCATCAAATTGGTTGGGAATAGAGGTGAACAAATTACAATGGAACCTTAAATGCAATTATGTACAAGGGCATCTAAGCAATTTTTTGGTATAGGTTTTATTATAATTAAGCACAGACCCTCGAAGATATCTTAAATCAAAACATTAAGTGTTGCTATTTTTTTCAAACCGCGATTGCCCAAATCCCACCCGTTAAACGCGAAAACAAAGTATGCAGGTATGCTTATATACGTCTATATACTAACATATTTTAATGCCAATAGGCCTGCACCTTTTAATAAAGTCCATTTTGTTGACCTATCACACGGGTTACTTTATGGGGACGAAAACGAGTACAGTAATCCCTTTTACCCTACGAGTAACTGAAGGGTACAATTTTAATTTTTAAAGATTTGTATATTAGGAAGGAGGGCGTCAATTAATAATTAAAATTGTCTTCTATAGTTCGCGATATAAATACTTTCGTACAGGCACATGGCTAAATTGGCTAAGCTTTTGAAATTGTATCCTCTTTTTATACCTATTATTTTATCTATGATAAACGGGTGAAAGTTCATAAATGACATAAATAAGAATGGTTATATGACTAAAAACGTGTAAAACATATAAGTTACATATAATATATAAACCTACCTTCGTTGCTAGCGTAGTCCAATGGTAAGGGTAAATGATTTGTAGATTTTTTATCAAGTTCATCCTGATGTTTGGATCTCATGAAGTATACTGTAGCTATTATGAAAATCACTAGAAAGAGGACACCCGTCACAATGGCACCAGCAATAAATCGTATTTGTACAGAATCGTCGTATACTGTTGTAATGGAGAACTTGATTAAATTTTGATCGTACACAAATAAGTGTAAAATTTACCTGAGCCAACGGATTGAAGAGTTTGAGCATAAATCATATTACTATAAGAACCAAAACCATTTATCGTTTTACAGCGAACTTGAAATCCATATTCCGTGTTTTCTAACAATCCTTCAATATGTGCTTTTGTGTCCTTTGTGTTCAAAGCTGTTTTATTAATGGCATCTAATTCTACCTTGGGGAACCAACGGACTTCATAAAACTCAAGAGGAGAATCACTTTGAACGGGCTTGTCCCACTCTAAATCGGCGTCCTTACTAGTTATGGCCAATATTCGTAAGTTAAAAACTGTAGATAGCAAAACAGACTCTGTGGTAAAAACGATTTCAGCGTGACCGGTTTTTATTTCATTCAAATCCAATGGAATGTTAAAGAACGACGCATTAGAAAATGTTATATCATTTAATGCCGTCAGTGACGATTCGTTGGAATGCCGGCCCGAGTCGGTTAGATGCGACACACTATTAGTTGCGTGTATCTGCACAGTATAAGTCGTTACAGGTTCAAGATTTGTCAGTGTTATTTTCGTTTCGTTGAAAGTGTCACTTGACGGATTGTACATTACATTTGTGCTGCACATATTGCATCGGATCTTGTACACAATATCACTGTGGTACTTTTTATTCTGCGTTTCAGTCGGGTGCGTTTTATTCTTGGATGGAGCGCTCCAAGATATTATGGCACTCGTTTGATCAACAAACAATAACGTGAGATTTGTAGGTGCAGCTGGTGGACTGTAACAAGGCATATGTCGGCCGTCACTTGGATGCCTATAGTATCCCGGCATACACTTGCAAAATGGTGATCCAACTTTTGAAGAATTTGAATTAGGCGGACATGGAGTACATTTTGTAACCTCTGGTGATTTAAATGTTCCAAGTGGACATTCTGAAATAAATAAAATAATTTATCTCTAAAAATATATTTCATTTCTATAAATATAAGTTCGAAAAATAAAATCGAATCTTTTTCAAAATCAGGGGTGTTACAGAGACCATCGAACATGGTCGCATCTGGGTCCAATATCATTAAAGGGGGAGGTAGGGTCTAGCAAAAAAAAAATCAATTTTTTTAAAAATTTTTTTCTTGTAGATTAACTTCTTAAGATTATACAAAAAAAGTTTTAAGTCAATCGGATAAAAACTTTAGAAGTTATGCTAAAACTAGTACCCTAACCTCTTAGACGTTACGTACGTAAGTGCATCTTTAAGTGCGTTTTTCTCGAAACGGCTCAACCGATCGTTTTCAAATTTGTCGCATATTTTTGTGCATTTTTATGCAACCGCCCCCTGGGAAGCGCTTTTTTTATTTTTTAACTTTAAGTATTTTATTTTTAAGCCCAAAGTTGAATTTTTTAGGTAAAAAACGCATTTTTAACTTTGGAAAAGCAAACAAAATTCTTAAAAAAAAAAATTAAAAATTGCGCTACCCAGGGGGCGGGTAACCTCTGATTTTACTGATTTTTTGATGCCGAAGACCCTACCAAATATGTGTATGTGTGGAAAATCTTAACCTTCTTGCTTTTGTAGTTTCCGAGATCTCAGCGTTCATACGGACAGACAGACAGACGGACAGGCGGACAGACGGACATGGCTAGATCGACTCGGCTAATGATCCTGATCAAGAATATATATACTTTATGGGGTCGGAAACGTTTCCTTCTAGCTGTTACATACTTTTGCACGAATACAATATACCCTTTTACTCTACGAGTAACGGGTATTGTTGATAGTTTAAGTATCTCGGGGTTTTTATTGTATTAGTAATACTGATAGATTTGTACTCTGATTAGAGTATACAAAAACGAGGGCGGAAGCTAACTTCGGCAAGCCGAAGTTTTAATACCCTTGCAGACTTCACGAATTAAAATTTGACTACAATAGCAACATGAATTAATAAACAAAATATTTCATGATTCAAAAAAAAATATTACAATTTTCCACCCAATTGTTCCTATGGGGGCTATAGGATATATACAATGCGCGAAAAATCATCACTTTTTGCAAGTTATATCCGATTGTTCCTATGGGAGCTACACATGTTTTAGGATGACTATGAATGTTTTTAGTCGCTAGCTTTTAAACTGAGCTCGCAAACGGTATTGAAACAGACGGACAGACGGACAAGGCTATATCGACTCTACTATTGATCCTGATCAAGAATATATATATATATATACTTTATGGGGTCTTCTGACCCCATAATAATACCCTCTGCAAAAGTATAAAAAGTTGGTTTTGCAGGGTTTCGGGTCAATTTTTTTTACACTGCACCAAATTTTCTTTGAATAGTTCCGACAGGCAATTTGGGATGTAGACATTCCATCAGGGGCGTTTTAAAACTTAATCTGCGGGGACATTTGTATGACGATTGAGAAAGCTAGAATCGATATTTTTACTTTACTTTACTCTCAAAGGAACATTAGGGTTTTTATACCCTTGCAGAGGGTATTATAATTTTACAATTATAATTTTGTAAATCAGCAAGTTTGTTTTTATTTTAAAAAATATTAAAAAAATTACGAACTCACAACAAAAATTTCATTAAAAAAGTACTGACCTGTGCAAGTTTTATTTAAATCGTTTGGTTCATAGCCGGCCTTGCAACGACAGCCACCAGTAAGAATTGTCCATTTTCCATCACCTTTGCATAAATATGTTGGTGCCTCATACGGTTCAGCGTTTTCGACACAAGTTCCATTTTGCTTCTCGATAATAGTAATTTCTCTTCCTGTAGGTGTTTCGTTGAAGTGCGCAAAGTTCTCAGTAACAGCAGGACATGTTATATAGTAAACTTTTACTGCCAATACGCTTATACAAGCGCCCTGGTCCCTAAACGCAAAATAAACTCCTTTTTTGTTCACTGCTATGCTCTTCACCTCAGTGTTAATGTCTACATCGGAGTTTTGATTAAAGCGACCCTCTCCAGCCGCAATGCGAGCGATCAGCCTGTAGCTGTCAGTTTGCCACGGAGGAGGCTCTCGAGTGGCAGCATCGAATTCGTAGAAAAGTAAACTAAAGGTTTCCTTGCATGACAAAGCGTTTCCTGAAAATGACAAAGATGTTCGTTAAATTGTGATTAAAGAAAATAAATAAATAATTAATTCATTCATTTAAAGCTTTAAATGAACTGTGAAACTTATATAAAACACTAGCAATACCCGAAGCGACGTTGTCCGCTACTATTAGCAAAGCATTTATTGCTGATTTTTACATATATTCAAATTCAAATTAATATCAGAGTAAAATCCCGCGTAAACTTAGCTAAACAGTAATCCCACCTAAAACGCACTAATATTCTAATCCTTCTAACCATAACATACCTAACCTTAACACCGCATTAACCCTAATATTACCTCACCTTAACCCCACCTATTTTATTCTAACCCTTGGCACACTTTTTTAGCACCTTAATGCTGTTTTCACTATTTCCTAGTCTTAACCCACCTTAGCACCAGTTTTTCCTCTTCTTAGCTAACCTAACTTTAGTCTCATCTGAAAAAAAATGTTCCTTACTATACTTACTAACTTTAAATTCACTTTTTTTAGTAAAACATGTTTGTCACCTTGTCCTTATCCTCACTAAAGTCCCAACGAACCTTACCTTTCTCACCTTCACCCTTCCCTTACATTACTTTTACCCTAACCTATGTAATGCCTCCTTAATCGCAACTTAACCCCTAACCTCACCTTATTCCCACCTTAACTCCACCGTTCTGGTAGCCTAATTATATCATTTTGGTTAGCTAAGCGAATGTAGAGAAAAACTCTTACTCTTTTTTACGGTTTATTTCGAACAGATCTAACCCCCAAAAACCTTAAAAACATAAAAAAGAATATATAAATAATAAAACACAAATACCTATGAAAGGCTACGGCCAAAATGCTTTAAGCGAAAGACGGATCCGCTCGCAGGATCGGTATGTAAACAAAAAAAGAAGTGCCCCAATGTCGGATCAACAGCTCGAGAAAACAGTAGGTGTAATTTTGGAGACGAAATTTGCCAACAATTTTCTTCGTGCGCCCCTCGTCTTTAACATAATTTAAATTTTTGCAAAATATTTGATTTAGAATGGCTGCATTGGGTGATCCGTTATTTTATCCCAATTTAATCATTACATACTTATGTATGTACATGCCAATTTTTCGATGTGTGTGTGTGTCATTGCGTTTCTCACATGCAAATGTGACGAAACCCAATTCAAAATTTTTTTAAAATTAAAAAAAAATTCCTTATGCCGTTCTGGTATCCAAATAGTAAAAATTTTATCAGGTGTTTCTAAGCCAGAAAAAAATGATTGTCCGACTCTCTTTCGCTTCAAATGACTCTCTCTCTGCTCACTACTCTCTCGCTCTGCTTTTGCTGCCGTTTGTGAGTAAAAACAACGTGCTGCCAAAGAGGCCCCCCGCAACCCCCGCAAACAAAAAGATTCATATAAAATCAACCGTGGGTCAAAAAAAAAAAAAATACCTTACTAATTGTATGGCATAGCTCCACACTTTAAAACAAAAACGGATCCGATCGCATAATCGGTGAGGAAAGAATAATTAAGTGCCCCCAACCGGAAGTTGTGGTCTTATGGTTTGGGCTGGGGGAACATGACGCAAATCGACATCTACTCTTTTATAGTAATACTCGATGAAAGGAAGCTAATTTTTTCATTATTTTCAGATTGTTCATCGCGATAGCTTCAAAACTGAGAGACTTGTTTGCATAGAAACGGACAGACGGACGGACAGACGGTGCTGATCAAGGATATATATACTTTATAGGGTCGGAAACGTCTCCTTCATTGCGTTCCAAACTTCTGACTGAAATCATCAGCCTCTATAAGGATGTAGATATTTAAACTATTTACAAGAAACTTAATTTTTAAACCAGAACAAAATGACCCACTTACCGAAAATTGAAAATTTAGTTGAAAGCCTATTTAGCCTACGGACATTGTGTGTGAGACGTGCAACATGTCAAATCAGATTCGTTTCAAACCTTACTCCCAACTGACATACTTGAAACACAATTGGATTATACCAATTGCGTAAATGGGTTAAACGTTTTCCCAAACTCAAATACACAAAACAAAAACAAATCAAGTTGGTTTAAAAGTATAATGGTAAGGACGGTTTGGGTTGGGTTTCATGTAACCCATTCTGTTAAAGTTAATTAATTAAAATCGATAATGACATATTTAACATTGCCCTTAATGTTGCGTCTGTTTAACATCAACTAGTCGCAATCAATCAATGTTTTGAAATTTTTACTGTGAAATATGATTGACCTTTTGGACCACAAGAATTCGCGTGAGAAGTCGCGTTAAGTTCATTTAAATTAAATGTTATCCAGATCGGCTCTGCTAGTAACATGCGCGGATCCGCGGGGGGTGATATGGGTGAAAAATGAAAGAATGGAAAGATCTGTCGGTTGGGACGGTCTGTAAGTTGGGACACCTCATTTGCTTAAAACTTTTCCACTAAAATTTTTGTTTTGTTTTTTTGTTTAGTTTTTTTTAGTAACAAAACCATTTTCACCAAAAAAGTTGATGCCCACTTTTTTCAAAATTCCATAAAAAACAAGAGAGAACGTTATAGTCGGGTGCCCCGACTATCAGATACCCGTTACTCAGGTAAAGGGAGTGCGAGGGAGATGGAGATAGAGATAGAAAACGTTGATCACGCATAACTTTTTAACGAATGGTTGAAAAATTTCTTCTACATTTCGATAGGTATTGATAAACACAATAAAACTGCATTTTTACTTTTCCAAAATATTAAAATTTTTAAAATCGTATATAAGCGATTGTGGGCGTTAGAGGGGGCGTGGCACCATTTTGAAACAAACTTGCGCTGCGTAGGAACTCCTAAAATCTGCATGCAAAATGCCAATCTTCTAGCTTTTATAGTTTCTGAGATCTCAGCGTTCATACAGACAGACAGACGGACAGACGGACAGACGGACATGGCTAGATCGACTCGGCTAGTGATCCTGATCAAGAATATATATACTTTATGGGGTCGGAAACGCTTCCTTCTCCCTGTTTCATACTTTTGCACGAATACAATATACCCTTTTACTCTACGAGTAACGGGTATAATTAATAACGGGCTTAAATATATTTGGTAAAATGCTTAAAATATAAGTAATTAAAAGCTTAACAAATATTAAAAAATTCTTATTAATTTGACAGTCAGAAAAAAAGTTATTGATTTTTTCCCGAATCAACTCATTTTGTGTAAGTTGGGACACTTTGACCGTGTAAGTTGAGACACCCGTTTTGCATACAAAATGGCCTTAGCCCGACAGAGTTCGCTTTCTGCCCACTACATTTGTTTGATGTACGGGGAAATGTGATCGTTCAAAGAGTCATTTGGTTTTAATTATTAATTGGTCTAAGGGCCGTTTTCTCGTCCGTCCTGCAAAGTACAATTTAGCTAATGGAAGGATAAATTTATCCAGGTTAAAGGTTTTCGTTTTCTCGTCCGTCATTTAAAACTCCAAATAAAAGGCGCACTAATTTGAGACTAGGTGGCAACACCACAACAGAAGAGTTAACTAATTGTCAAAATTTGGTCGAAAAACTATCTAAAAATACCATTAAACAGTCATACTTACAGCTGATGATATAAAAAAAATTTCAAACTGATAAAAAAACAATGTCGGCAGAAAGAAACTTTCGCGGTAAAAAGTATACCGATGAACAGGAGACATTTCTTGTAGAACCGGTGTCTTCGGGAGATTGAATTCTTAGATGCGTACCATCTAAGGCTCCTATGACTTTCGGAAACGTTGATATTTTAATTTTAATTTTTAAATACGCCGGTACTTCATAAATTATTTTAAAACGAGGACGGAAGCTAGCTTCGGCAAGCCGAAGTTTTAATACCCTTGCAGATTTCACTAATGAAAACTTGACTAAAATAGCAAATTGAATTAATAAACAGCAAAATATTCTATAATTGAAAAAAATAAACATTTTATATTTTTCACCCTATTGTTCCTATGGGAGCTATATGATATAGACGTCCGATCGGCACGCGCTTTTACCCTGATCAAGGTACGCACAAAAAAATACGATTTGGAAAGTTTCATGGGAATAGCTTATATTTTGCGCGAAATATCCTGAAATACGTCAAATTTTGACCGATTTCACCCTATTGTTCCTATGGGAGCTATAAGATATAGACGTCCGATCGGCACGCGCTTTTACCCTGATCAAGGTATGCGTAAAAGAATAAGATTCATGTCAAAAGCTTTTACACTGAGCGAAATATCTTCATTTTGTGAAAGCTATATCCGATTGTTCCTATGGGAGCTATAGGATATAGACGTCCGATCGGGTCGGCTTTCAAACTTGATCTGCGTACACATGTTTTAGGACGATTGTGAAAGTTTCAAGGCGCTAGCTTTTAAACTGAGCTCGCAAACGGTATTGAAACAGACGGACAGACGGTCAGACGGACAGACGGACAGACGGACATGGCTATATCGACTCCCCTATTGATCCTGATCAAGAATATATATACTTTATGGGGTCGGAAACGTCTCCTTCACTGCGTTACAAACTTCTGACCAAAATTATAATACCCTCTGCAAGGGTATAAAAAAGCTATAGCAAAAGAAACTTCCTTAACAACTCGACTGGCTGTGGCACCGCTAACACCACAAAAATCGCCTACAGTTATAAGAAAACTGCCGCTTACGTAGAATCTAAGAGCTATTAGAAGCTTAACCCATGGCTGTATTATCGTTTCCCTGTAATAATAGTTTTTGATTATATGGAATTAGTTAAATCAAATGAATGCACTAACTTCTTTACTTTAGGTTCAAGTTGCAAAACAAATAGCGCCGTGCTTTTACACAAGCCAAACCTTTTAACAAATTCTTTATCACTGTAATGTTCGAAGTAATTTCTTTGGTCTTGATATCTGCGCTGATAGGTTCGCCTTCAGACAATTCGACGATATCCCACAGAGTCTGAAGATATATCTCTCGGGAATTCATTTGAAAATAAATTGGATGACAGTAACAATTTTGATTTCAGCTGTTTTCGAATGAAGAGTGGAACCAGATTGACAAAGCTCGAATGTCTGGCAACACTTTCGCACAAATCCAACCGCATAAATTTGAAACGGTGGAGTACAGAGACAAAATATGTCGCTACCTGCGTTAACATAAGGACGAGTAAACCATTTTTTGTCTATCGCTCCGTTGTCCCGGCAAACAAACTAAAATATGGACGAGAAAACGGCCGTAAGTTCTCAAAAAATGGACGGGAAATAAGTTAAAGCGAACTAAAATTGATTAAAATAACATAAATAAATATTTTCTGAAAGTTTGGAGTACTTTTGGTGTGAGTTTTATTGACTTTTAAAAGTGTCTCAACTAGCATACCATTTTTTAAGAATGTCGTTTTTTGGCACTTTAAAAAAAAAGTTTTCCATAAGGAAAAAGAAATTGTTTATTGTTTTTTAAAGCTAATAGACTAACCGTTTGATCAGTACCTAATGCGTGAAGTTTCACAAGTGATTGTCGAAATGGGAGATCAAAAACAAAAGGTGTACCAACCTACAGACCTCTCCCCTATATCATAGTTTGCAACAAATTTAATAGACCGCTTTACAGTACGAATAACAGGAAAAATTTCTATTATTCAGTAATATGTACCCCTACATGTAGGCAACACTTTTTAGTGTGTAGTAGTGTGTAGTAAGTGGCATATTTAGTCGTACCATGGTCGTCTTATTTTCTGTAAAAAAAAACAAATGCATATATTTACCTGGGAATAAAGAACAGTCGCGTATTGTGAATTGAATTTCAATGTAGAGTCGGTTTGCTGGTCCACGATCGATAAACGGCGACCACAACCAATTGTTGACATTGTGATATGCCACATCGCAAACCACGTAGCTCCTCCAGTTTATGCCCTTCACGAAGTCTGTGAATGATTCTTCTACCCACTAAAAGTATAAGTAAAAATAAAAACCAAGTAAATTTTTATGATAAGTACAAAAAAACATGGATAAAACTAGAAAGGTAGCTAGCCTCGGCCAGCCGAAGCCTATAGGGTATATGGTATAGGATATATACAGATTATTATACTATTAACTTAAAAAAACATTAAATATAGATTTACTTGCGTATATGTTACTACAATCTAAATTTTAGCTGCTTTCGTATAATATTGTCATTAATTTTTTGAGTCTTCCTATGGCAGTTATATAAAATAGCCGTCCAATTTTTGATAAATTTAATTCAAAATTTTGAAATGTTAAGGAAAATATATACTCCAGAAAAGAAGAAAATGTAATATAGATCAACACAAATATAATTTTTTTAACATTAATTTCCAATTAATTTTTAGATCGACTCGTGATGCTGATCAAAAATATACATATCGACACTTCCACCAAAAAGTCGACCAAGCCAAAAACCTTTAAACTTGAAAAAAAAAAATTTCCACATGATTTTGCCGCCTTATTAGTTTCTAATTAGTTGGATCCTGAGCTAAACTAAAAATTTGGAGTATAGTTGGATTATTTTTATAATAAACCCTATCAATATAAGCAAAAATTAGTTTTTGGCCATTTTTTAAAATATTTTTTGAACCTGTATTCTGTTCTTAATTTATTCTATACACACAAAAAAAATTGTCAAACAGTCCCCAACCACAAAAAATTGTAAATTTTGTCAAGAATATAGGTGTGTGTCCTTGCTGATTGTGTGTATTTGTTGTTGTGAAAGTATCTATTTAATTAGTAGATTTAACCATTTTTTGTGGTTGTGTGTATAGAATAAATTAAGAACAGAATATAACAGAACAATTATAACAGTTGATTTACCAAGTTTTTTTTGTGTGTAGGAATGCTAATATGTGACATTTTTCTGTACTAAATGCTTCATTTACATGTTAAACTATTAAGTTTAAAGCAAAACAGCCAGTAATTGAGGGATCAAGGTAAAGAAATTGACTTTTCAAAACGGTGAAAAAAAATGTCCCGAGCGATGTGTTTGAAACTTCATAAAACAAAAACGGCAAACAATTTTTAATTAAAACCAAAACTATTTTACAGCGACATGTAAATCGCATTCAAATATTCCATCAGAATTCGCTAAGTTATATTGTTAAGAACTTTTCCGAAATCCACTTATATTTTTGTCCCGAGCGAATACGGCAGTTTTTTAACAATATCTCAAAAACTAAAAGTGGTACAAAATGAAGATTTAAAAAAAAAGAGCTTAAGAAAAGTGAAAAGAAAAGCTTATTATTAAAATTAAAATCTTTTTTTTCAAATTGTTTTTCTTCTTTACTGCGTTGCAAACGTCTGACTAAAATCATAATACGTATAATATAAACCACGGGGGATTCGATTTTTTTATGGAAAAAAGGTAGTACTTACGCATTTTTTGAAATTATTAAAACATAATTAGAAAGATAATTGTATACCGATTCTTTAGAGATTTCATCGTAGCTGACACCACGATCTGGTTTTTAATTTTTTAACTCGACCAAGTATGGCAGTCCAAAAAGATCATCCCAATGTTGTTAGTAAATAAAAACAAATAATTTTTGAATTTAAAAAAATCGAAGGGGGCGTAACTTCTTTAAGATTGGAAAACTTTTTTTGTTTGCATAAAAATTGGTTGTCATGCGAAAACCCTCAAATCACATTTTTTTGTTTGTATTAATGTAAAGTTGGAAACAAATTTATTTTTGTCTTTTTCATCGAATGACTAATGACTCGAATGTAATTTTGAAGTTAAAAAATCTAAGAATAAAAAATACCCTTCCCTTATTACCCATCTATCGTCAAAATAAAAGCACGGACTGCATGATTTAAGCTGCGAGTCACTGTACATATGTAGATGACTATAAAACACTACTAAGATGGAGATTCGAGATTCCTCGAATCTGCCGCGCTTGCAGATTCCCAACACAAAATCGAATGTAATACGTACCCCTGGAGTTTGGGCTTGTGGACCATATGGATACCTAGTCCACTCCAATGTAGCTTCTCTGGTTGTATCCAACAGAACCACTGCAGAAATTTGTGAATTTTAGAAAGATGTTTTTTGCGTTTTACGTTTTTACGTACCCTGATCGGCAAGTGTCAATCTAACGTGAATAGTTATAATGATTAGCAGTACTATGCTTAATAATGACATTCTGGAAACACCTCGAGATCTGTGTTGTGTTTTGATTGCAGCTTGAACAATTTTAAACGCACATTGAAGCGTGCCATTAACTTCATTTCGCAGGGAAGTCTGATTTGATTTGGAAGAAGAGTTGTGTTCAATAAAATCATCTTTTGCCTCTCCTCTGCCAACGGGATGGCACTGAGACACCATTTTAATTTTTTTAGGGTCGTTTTTGAGTAGTTTTATTTAAAATACACCACTTTTATTGGCTGTGTCGCACTATGATGCGGAGTGCCCACTTTGAATAGCATCACAAATTATTTTCGTTCCAGGTTCAGGCTAAAATATAAGAAAAAAAAGAAACAAGTAATTGTATAAATAAATATTTTTAAACAATTAAAGCACTTTCTCTGTTTAATATTTCAAGGACCTGCTTTAATGCATTCCTATGTGTTAGTATTCACTGGTATATATACATATATCAATGCAAGGCGTATACATATGGACCTGCATTGATACCGATATACCTGCATTTTCCGCTGCTGCTACGTACATACATATGTACACACACGGTATTATATGTACACAAATTGATTGTGTGTATGTATGCTATTGAGCTAAAGGGACGCTAGCTTTGATTTATTCGTTCGTTTCGCGTATAATCATTATATTATTCCAAAGATTAAGTCACTGGAATCTTAGAGCACGTGTACTTTGCATAGATTTTAATTGTTTATGTAGTTAAACACCTCACTTATGAATACTGGCAGGACAGTGAATTTTCAGGCATCCTCGTATTTTCAAACATTTTACGAATTTTCTCTAAATCTTTAAAAAAAACGCCTTGGGCGATTTTTGATTGATATTGGGTACCAACGAGGAAATCATTTCCAATTGCTTTTTAATACTCTATTTTATATTATAAAAACTCCTCTATTTGAATGATGGTCAGATTGAAATTTTCAGTTAATACACTAAGTATCGATAACAATTTAACTGGATGCGGTCGCACTAAAATTGAAGAGATAAATAATGCTAAATACACACGATGGATTTGGAACGATGGAGTGGAGAAAAATATTGTAGTGCGCTTATAGCATCTCAAAATTGTAATGTCATATAGTTCTTTTTCGTTGAGTTAATGAATAATAATAAAAATCCTAGAAGGCCCTTTGAGCCAATATATCGGTATAAAGGGATTTTAGGATAATAACACATTTTACTGAGATTACACTCAAGTTATTCCCAAAAATTCTTCCCGTCTAAAATTTTACCGAAAAGATCAAAACGCCCCTAATAGCCTCTTCCCATAGAGTCCATTCGTTTGAAACGGTTGGGATTATTGACGAATGTGAAACTCGTGTTCCCACAGAACTCCATCCACCATCTACCATCCAATAACAGCTGACTGAAGAGCAGTTGCTCAGCTCAACATTAACGAAGGGGGATTTCAACTCGGGAAACTGTCGTAAAATTGCGTTCTCCTAATTTTATTGTATAATAATACAATAAATAGATTAAGAAAATAGTTTAAAAAGATATCTGAACGTTTATAACATATCCTACAACAAGTATGCATACATATTGCTGACTGGGGGGAAGCCTAACCTCCCGCACCCCACACTCCGCTCTTACTACGCCTCTGCCAAGCCAATAATAATATGAAAAATTTGTAAACAAAACCTATTTTGTGCTGTTTTTGGTAATTTATAGCAACTTTGGAACTTTATAGAAGTACAAAGTACACTTTTAATTATTATTAGTTTTATTTACGAAGTGCAGAACATATTTTGACACTTTGCTGCAAACATTGATGTTTTCGTACGCAAAACAGCTTACATTTTGGCCCACTCATAGCAACCTCTTTGCAAATGCTTTTCCGTCCATAACTAACTATAAATACTTCAACAATAGCCAAAAAACAAGGGGCTTATGCATTATTAAATTTTTTCCCGCCATCGATTTCATTTGTTCTCACAGTCATCGTTCCATTTTTCACAGTCAAGAGGAAGAATTCAGAGTTGCACCGAAAAAACATCGCCTAACGATCGCATAAAAGAGCCCGTCAAAGTCCGTCAAAATTGGATGGCGGACTAACTGGGAAATTTTCGGAACGGCAAAACCTTACGGACCTCCGTTCAACGGATGGTAGATGGTGGATGGAGCTCTGTGGGAAGACCCTATTAATCTAGACCACTGCTCTGAAAAGATGAAGCTATTATACCCTTATCCCACAGAACACATCCCGATGAAACAGTTCCTATTTTAGATTGATATATTTAGGATATTCCCTAAACTGTTGAATTGTTGAAAATTCACGGAACATAAAATATGTAAAATTTTATTTATTATTGCTAGTTACTGTCTAAAATTGTTACGAAGGTAAAAAGAACCACAAATATGCTTTCTAAGTGGTTTTTAATAAAAAAGGTTACAGCTCTGGTTTTCAACGATTCAACAAAATTTTTAACAGCCTCGAGGCTGTTGAATTGCTGAAATTTCTGAAAGTTGACTTTGTATGGAACAGCTGACAATTCAGCAATTCAACAGTTCAGGGAATACCCTGATTGTGTTAGCGTATTATTATTGCAAAAAAGGACGGAAGCTAGCTTCGGCCAGGCTTAAGATATAGTGGTCCGATCCGGCTCGCTCCGATATATTTACCACCTGCAATAGAAAGAAGACTTTTGGAAAGTTTCATAGCGATATCTTTAAAACGGCGAGACTAGTTCGCATAGAAACGGACAGACGGAGATGGCTAGATGGACTCTGCTATTGGTGCTGATCAAGAATGTATACTTTGTGTGGTCAGAAACGTCTACTTTACTGCGTTGCAAACTTCTGACTAAAATTATAATACCCTCTGAAAGGGTATAAAACAGAGAACGGCATTAGCGCACCGCAACTACAAGTACACCGCACAAACACAATGTCTTTTTTAAACTTGTGTGTCAAAGCACCGCATCAAAAAATGATGCGGTGTTTTTTTTTACTCATTTCTGTTGTGAGTTATTTGTATGCGGTGTCAAAAATGAGCTTCATGTATTGATGTAGTCGACTTTTATTTATGTGTGCTACCGCCGCTTGTATTGTATAGGCAAAAACAACTATTACATTTTTGGTGACAAGAAATTTTGTAATGAGGCCAGGATTTGACTTTCTTGCTTTAGTTTAGGGGACCCACCCCCGAAATTGGCGAAAAAGTTATCCTCGATGGATAGCGATTTCTTAAGAACTCTCATGACCATGGATAACCGACAATAGTCGAGGGGAGGGTCCCTCGAATACCCTGAAACGCGGTCCATCGAGGGTATTTCTTTCGCGAATTTCGGGGCAAAGGCCCCTCTTCTAGACCCCAACATATGTAATTTTATTATGATAAGATTAAGAAATCGCGGTCCAAGGAGGATTATATATTTTAACCTTTATTTAATTCTTGATCACCCAAAACCAAACATCAAGATTGAATTTGTATTTCTCAGTGACACAACAATCAATATTCAGCAAATTTGACATTCGCATTGGCTATGCTAGCCAGGTATAAAAAAATAGTGTGCGAAAATTCTGGGCCTTAAAGCACCACTGTACATTTTTGAATGTGTACTTTTCCACCGCATACTTTTGTGTGTTGTCTGTGTAACACTCACAATCGATGCGGTGTTTAAACACCGCAACTGCATATGTTAGTAGCACCGGCACCGCTTTTAAGGCGAGTACCAGAGAGCTGCAACGAGCATGATCGAGTACGATCGATCATCGCGCGATCATTTTCATTTAATCCGGTAAACTCACTCGGCAACGAATAATCACGAACAAACCCGAAAGCCAAAGTACGATCCGATCAATTACCCCACTCGCTTCGTAACGATCAATGATGTGATTTTGAACTTCGGGTGTAGGTGAACAAAACGATCGTTCCGAAGCGCTCAATCGTTCCCGATGATTGCGACCTCGAGTCAGTTGTACATGAATAGATTGTGAACGGATTAATATGATTTCTTGTAACGACGAAATAAAATAGGGGGAGAGTGCAATTCAATGTATTATATGTTTAATGAGAAATATTTATTCCATATGGAACTTTTTCCTTTCCGTTGGCCTGACAACGTGTAGGTTCCATCTGATTTTAGTTCTAAAACGCTTTCAAAATCTATTACTTGTTGTCCTTTTGTGCAAATATAAAAATATGTTGTGCGTTCTAGCCATGTCCGTCTGTATGTCCGTCTGTCCGTCTGTCTGTCTGTCCGTATGAACGCTGAGATTTGGAAACTACAAAAGCTAGAAGGTTGAGATTTTTCACACATATTCTTGGGCCTCCTACGCAGCGCAAGTTCAGCCGAGCGCCACGCCCCCTCTAACGCCCACAATCGATTTTAAAATTTGACCTGCGCCCACATCTTTAAAGATTTCCGAGAAGTATAAATGCAATTTTGTTGTGTATATTTATACCTATCGAAATGTAAAAGACATTTTTCAAATCGGTCCATTCATTTAAAAGTTATACGCAATCAAAATTCTTTATATATCTATCTCCCTCGAACTCCCTTTAGCTGAGTTATGATTATTAGATAGTCGGGACACCAACCCGAGTACAGTCGGAACACCTTGTTTTCCTTCATATATTTTGTTATTTTAAAAATACAAAAGGGGGATTCCCTAAAATGTTGAATTGTTGAAACTTAAAGCATGTAAAATTTGATTTATTATTGCTAGTTACTGTCTAAAAGTGTTACCAAGGTAAAAAGAAGCACAAAATTGCTTTTTAAGTTGATTTTAAAATAAATAATGTGTACTGGTGATACTAAAATGTTACAGAGTTGCCACGACTTTTAAAAAAAGGTGACAACTCTGGCTTTTCAGCAACAGCCCCAAGGCTGTTGAATTGCTGAAATTTCTGAAAGTTGACTTTGTATGGAACAGCTGATTAACAGCTGACCAAAATTCAACAATTCAGCAATTCAACAGTTTAGGGAATCCCCCTAAATATAAATTGTATGTAAACTATTTTTCTGGACTTATGGTGGTTAGAGTTTCCGACTCATAATCTCTGGGTCTGGGTCGTGAGTTAAAATTTCGCTTTTGCAGATTATTATTTTTTTTTTTGTTAACTGTTGATTTCAAGTCTATAGATTTTCCTCTACGAAAATCATTCTTCTGTGGCCTAGTGGTTAGAGTGCTCGACTCCAATGGTTGCGGCCCCGGTTCGATTCCCAGCGGAGGCAAAAACGTTATTTGTAAGTTTAAGTATCTGTGAAATGTAAGTGTCTATTAGACACTGTCTATTAATAACTTTCATATAAATTAATATAACAAATAAAATCAAAAATAAAAATAGTAAAAAAACAACAATTTTTTCGGGTAAAATACTGCTTTGTAGGTCATCTACTGTTTTATAGGTAATCTACTATTTTTTTGGCCATTTTACATTTTTTATGGGTTGGGGCAGTTTTCACTATTAAATAGTTGATTTTACATAGTTATTTTTTTTGTGTGTAGAAACACTTTAACACTGCGTTACAAACTTCTGACTAAGATTATAATACCGTCTGCAAGGGTATAAAATATCTAATATCAAACAAAAGCACCTCTTAACGATAAATAAATAAAGTGACGATGGCTTTCTCAACATACAAACGTTCTGACATCAAATTTGGTGACGATGCCTACACAGAGAAAATTCGCATTTTAAAGCGTTTTACTTTTTATAATTTTTCGACCCTTTTTTGCACCCAAAATGTTTTGTTTTTAGTTTTAAAATGTTTTGCTTTAGAATGGACGTTTCAAATGTTTATTTTCATTTTTAAAATGTAAATTTTTTTCTTTTTGTCTTGTATTTTTTCTTAAACTCAGAAAAGCATTCTGCCACGAAAAAAATGAATGTGGGCATGGCTCAGAGGCCAAAGTGCTAGGTTCTGGTACTATTTTGTGCTCGGGAGTACCAAGTTCAAATCCCGCTTCACAACACAACGTTTTTTTTTTTCGTAATTA